ATACATACATACATACATACATACATACATACATACATAAAAGCGGCCTAGGTACGTCAAAAGCAGTGATACGGTGCACGAAGGCCTCATGGCGGTTAACACCCACCCGATCAAATTTAACTGAGAGAAGTGGCGTCAACATACCAGTAAAGAGGATCTCGCCTACAAGCCAAAGATTAAGTAGAAGAAGAATGCTTCTTTGTGAATATGTTCCTTCATTTGTTCGGTCTACGCTGAACTGATTATTCTACAGAGCGCCCGGCAGCTCTCGCCTATCTAACTAAACTAGGGTGAACGGCTATAAGATTGAAACATCACCCAATTTTAAGTACTCATCTGGACCTGCGTTAGTTTAACTTTCTCCTAATAGGTTGCAGGTTGAACGGAGACAAAATAGTCTCGTAGGTAGCGGTGGTAGAATGTTGATGTTAGTGGTCTAATATCCGTTCGAATCCAGCTATTTAACACAACCCTCCATCAGTGCATGTATTATTCCTAGCTAAGCACAAAATCAGAGGAACGAGACTTTTGACTTTTTCAATGCATTCTTCTTAGCAAGTTCATCTGTGCGAACAGCTTTATTCATATAATTTCCAGCTGAACGTAGATAGTCATTCGAATGGCATTATGGCGCTTACGATTTCCGGCAGCGGCGTGTAAATTCCCAGTCAGTTTAAAATGAGTCATTTGTCTGTGTTTATGGTAGTAACGCGTGAGTTAGAGTAGTGTTCAATGAACACACGAATGAACAGACTATTCCTGATCCAATCTACACGATTTAGGCATTCAACGTGAAATGATTCAACGCAACTAAAGAAACCGACAATAACTACCTGCGTTCAGATGGAGTCACATGGCGCTCAAGACCTTTCGAAATGGCAAGGAACTGCTCTGTTGAATATATCTGAAGCTAATTTGAAAGCTTGCGGAGAGGTTGTAAAGTGAGAGGCATTCCACCCACCGTTACACCAGCATCAGCAACACGCTGTCTTACAACGAGTGGATGTTTTCGAAGGAAACAATAGAAATTGAAAATATCAGAAAGGGGTGCTCGTAAGCCAGCTGCATCACAAAATGCTTCCTGAACGAGTGTGTAGACCGACTGTGAGAAGTCCTTAAGTAACCAGTATGCCATCGATCGCAGAAAAGGATCTCTGGAAAGGCGAACTGTCCCACAAGTTCGAAAAGAAATTCATCACAGCTGTTTACCCGCTTCTTTCATGTTCGCAAGTGTTGCCAATGCGTTCTGCTATTCCTCCTGGACTTTCAACACTTTCCAGTGAACCTCCAAGCACTTCACTAAAAGTGTTCTACAAACTACAGTTCACTGCTAATCCAAATCTGAATCCCAGAAATCATACCACGGCATGGAACTGAATTACATAAAAGCTACTGTTTACCGGCACAAAATTTCTTTGAGCATTGCTTGCTGCACCTCGATATCAGTTTCGTAAATACGTAAGACTACCATGGCCAATTGTAAATCTCGGCATTTGCGTAGAATAGTCTTCAAAACAAACCAGTGATCAATCAAGTACTAGCCTAGAACAATCAAATATTCCATTGAATTTTCGCACCTGTATGGCATCTTTGATACTTCCGCTCAGCAGAAAAAATGCTGCAGCGTGATGAAATCTTTGTTTACCCATCAGCACAAACGCATTTTTTGCAGCAATCTAAAAACGAAAATTGAAAGTAAGCAGAAGACTGTGATCCAGAGGGTATACAAATGCAGCAAACGAACTCTTTGCCAATGTTCCTTGCTGAAATCCTGGGCGAAGAATTCTGCCATCTTATTATTTTTCACAGTCTAAAATTGAAGGGCTATTAAATGAGAACCGACAAACTGCTTCGATTAGGCGGATTATTAGAAAGCTATTTTTTGAACACTTGCGAAGAGGGTCCTCAGTTTGAACCGAATATTATATCTTGTTATATACGAAGTGAGTACGTGTGCACATGTGAAAGCATGTGTGTGAGCGCATGTATGGTGTGACTGCATGTGTTTTGTGTTTGTGATTGTGCAAATATGTAGTGATACGTGCGTTTGTAGGTTACGCACAATTAATGCGCGCAGTGCAGCAAAGAATCAAACAGAACTTGGTTTTTTCCGCTTAGGCTGAAACCCTCATAATGGGCCCTGTGAACAGTGAGAGAATCGAACTATGAATTTGTGTGGAAATTGAGCCCATTCTGAGGGCGCTCCACCAACCGCGAGTCTGTCTTCTTCATTGCATTCGTTGACCGATTTTTTATCTCGACTCATTTTTCCAGGTGTTTGGGTCGTTCTGAAACCATAGTTGAAGGTTTTGCCTTTGCACCGCCGAATCCGGTTCGTGTATCACTTCGGCGCACCGAAGACGGAGACCTTGCTTAGTCTAACAACTTTTTCTGCCCCATGCCGCCCACACTGAGTACGTTCCGCCCACCGTCTTTCGGTCTTTTTCGTCTGAATTGTTGAAGCACTCCTCACCTTTGTCTGTCCGTTGCCTCTGGCTGTTCTCCCCTGAGCAAAATAAGGAGTTTTGCAACTGGCACCGCATTATCTCGATACGCACCCCGCAGACTGTAGGTGGAGTTCCGTTTGGTTGATATGTGCTACCTTTATATTATTCTAGCGTACCACCACCCCACACTTAACGAACTTTAGACGGCGGTCTCCCATTCCACTAGATCCATACAGAATTATAGTGGTGGATTGAATGCCTATATGGCCTATAAAATGACTGCGGTGTCCAGCCAGTGTACCAATCGGTGAGTGTACAAGCCAGTGCTTTTGACCTCTCGGACATTTTACACTCGATAGAGGCAGTCCACTACTATTCTACAAGCAGTCGCCAATTGGTTCGTAGGGAGGAGAGGGAGGGGAAGGGTATAAATTTGTGTTCGCTTTGTTTTCGATTATGGTGCTTGCATTTATCTTCCTCGGACTAAGTTGCTTGCTGACAAACTAGAAAGAATGCAGAATAATTTTGCTCAAAGACTCTATGCTCTAGGCTTTATGATGGGTTTTGAAAATCTAGGTATAGAAGTATTCCAGGGCATATAATCAGGAATTGAATGTTTGACTTAGAGCTATTTAATTTGATAGGGGAAGAAAAGATGTTTTGATAGCTTTCCAGACTTTGAATATTTTTTGCGGCTAGTTCCGTCCAGAACCAAGAGAAAGCATGAAGCTCTTTTTTGTGCTCCTTAGCTCGTCTTTTTAGCGAAGAGCTTCAGGGCTAGTGTGAAACTTTCAAGACTAATAGGGCCGTTCAAATTTCCTGCTGCCCGAGGTCAATTTGAGAAGCTTGTTGCTGACAACCTGCAGGGCACATAGTGGATTTCTTTTTCACTGTAATGTGTTATGTCTGTTTTATTTTGAATAGAATTCTTCTTGAAAGTAGCGCTATCAATGCACAATATTTACAACTTCACTATTGGAGAGTTGTTGTCGAAGCCGTTGTCATGGCATCTATTGGTGTCTTTGCCCCAGAAGTCATGTGGATGGAAGCTAAAAAAGACGCTGAGATCATTCCCGGGTCTCCCAGAGAATCTTATTTACTACTCGCTGGATGGCTGCTGAAAGACAAGTACAGGTGGTAGTCGACTAGATTGCTGCCATGATGTGCAGCAAAATTTTCCTGCCGTTAAAAGTTTTGGGATTCATTTACCCGCTGGTGCCTCCGTCTTCGATTCACGTAAAGGTACCATTTTCCATCTCAAGTGGTAACGTTGTCCGGCCAGTCCGCTGGGTGAGATCAGTGGACATCGTTTGAAAACTGGTCAACTTATTAGTATTCCAACTTATTAGCATTTTCAAAAAGACCGAAGACCTCTGTTAACTTATATAATTTCTGCAGCAGCCGAATGTGATTGTTAGCGAGTTAAAGAGCCGTTTCTTACAGATTCGATTGTACAAGAAGGAGAAAATGGTCCGAATCCAGAGCGCGATGACCTCCATGACCGAAGTTTGTCTTTCAAGTCGCAGTCGGCAGAGCGCGACCGATCAAACCATTTCACCACTATGAAAATATCAGCACTCAAGGCCAAGCAGATGCTATGAGCGGAGTGCGACGCAGCCCAATCAAAATTCATATAGCATAGCGTGACCTAAGTGAGGTTTTTCGTCTACAACTTTATAGAGAACAACAACAGCCTGTCAAGATTTAATCAAGATCTCGACAATGGCACTTGATAAGCATTTAATCTCCCCCAAGGCCGGATCGCAAAATCGATAAAGGAAATTGCGGCGCGAGTCTCAGAAAGTAAGCTTGAAAATTCCGAGCACCGTGGTAGTCACTCCTTATAATAGTCCTGAATGGAAGCTCGCTAGTTCTAGCACTTTTGCAAGGAAGTGTGTAGCAGCAGAAGATAGTAAGCAAACGCGAATCTTGAGATGAAATCATAATTAGAGGCATCATATTTGAGGAATCACAATCAGGCAGAATAGAGGGAAGCAAGGCATTTCTATGTTTTATCATTAAAAATTGAAAAGACGAAGGAATGGGTCGGGAAGCAAACAAAAGCGTTTTGAACAGGAGAAAAAGCCTGAAAATTTCTCACCAAATACTAGAGAACAAGTCTTAACGCAAAGGAATTTTTCTGAAGCTAATCAATTCCATTTCTAGAAAGCCCCCACACCCCCGGGTTTGACTTCCATCTACAACGGTAGCGGTTTTTCGTGTGCGTACAGGGCCCATACAATGAGTTGCACTGGCCAGCTGATAGACAAATCAAAACTTTTGTTCTTCAAGACGAGTAGGTAAAACTATCCGAGCCCAGAATGATACCAGGTCGATTACGAATTATGCATGTGTGATACTGCAATCACTTACCACTATATCACTTCCACCCTCATGTATTTTAGGTTGTCTCAGAAGTGCGTGCACAGCGGAGCAAATCGACTACGCTATCTGGTCCAAGCAAATCCGATCAGAACGATTCTAGTAATCACCCTCAGCTGCTCCAAATAATTGGTGAACAGAGGTCTCTTTCGTCGCGAATGTTTTGAAGTTTGACAGATGAATTGGCGCTCTTCCATCACCCCAACCGACTTCCCGTTGGCAGCTGGCGGAATAGACGGGCAACTCGATGATGTTACGTTCATAGCCCGACTAGTTACCCAGAGTCTATCCATTCCTAAAGTTAGGGCCCAATGAAACAGTTTAGGAGGACGTCGTTGCCCTGAACTTGTGCTTATCGTTGCCCTGAACTCCCAATATGGCAGCGCCATTAGGACTGCTCGGGAGAGGATGCTAAAAGCTGAGGGCCATTCCAGCCTGCTTAAGAGGAGGCTGAGATGACAATGTGCACTTTCAATGCACGAGGGGTCGCCTCGGAAGCTTTATCGAAGATCAGATGATGCCAGTACGGAGAATCAAGAACGACATCATCGGACTGACCGAGACGAGGAACATATTACCCGCTGCAGCCGTTTCCGAAACTGGAGAGAAATTGCTCCTTGGAACATGCGGCAGTTGTGGCAACGAGGGCGTCGGCAGCGTAGGTACCCTCGTCAACACGAATTTGGCTATGAACATCGATTCGTACGAAAGCTTGACAATTCGAATCGGACAATGTGCGTTGCCTACGCACCATCATCAAGCTACCAAGGAGAGCAGTTAGAAGTGTTTAATATGGATTTGAAGAAGCTCTACAAAGGAGATCATATTTTCTTCAAGGTCATCGCCGGTGATTTCAACGCCAACATTGGTCCCAGCAAAAGACGGCTGATTAGCTCCACATCGGGACTCACGGAAACAATGGATCGAGCAAGATGAAAGGCTGTCCGAGTTTATAATGCCCACTCATCCATGGTACCTGGTCCATAAGCACTCTCATTTGCGAAATACCCCGTGGACAATTCCATAATGGAATAGATCACATCATCTTTGATAGGAAGTTTTGCCTGACTGATGTCGCTGTTGTTCCGAAGCTCAATACGGGATCGGACCATCGTCCCCTCTGCGCAACTGTGTTACTCAAACCACGGATAGAGAGCTGTGAACTTTAGGATACGAAACCCCCAAGACCTCCAACAACTGGGACCATTCGCTTCCCTTGCGAGTGAATGAGGACATTCCGTTATTGACAACATCGATGAAGAATACAACCGACTGTCAAACTTCTTCACGATAGTGCTCGAAAGCAGAGAGTCTACAAGTATCCAAGAGGCGACTCTCTTCGAAGACTCTCGAGCTGATACGCCAGCGTGGAATCGCGTGAGCTGCAGGCAATCATCAACAAACGTCCAAACTTGTGAAGCTATGCAGAAGGCGACGGGGGATCTGAATGAGAGAAGAGCAGCAGTTATTGACGAAGCTGCGAGGCACAAAGAGCAACACAAAGGTAGCCGAAGTCTACTCAATTACGAGACCAAGACGACTTATCTTCGTCGATTGACGGAACTGCTGATGCATCTCGAAGGGCAATGGAGAAGGTTATCTACGACTCCTACTCGGATCTCTTCGACACCCCACTTACATGCCTACCTACCATATTAGGTGAGGTAAAAAAGGTCTTTCTTCCAGTCCTCCTTTCTGAAATTCGATATGCCATCGCCTCCTTAAGAATTGAACAGCCCCTCGTGCTAAAAGAATCAGACCAAAAAATCTGAACAGCCTTCTACCAGTTATGGTCAGAACTATAGCTAGGCGTTTCACGCGCACTGCCGGAGAGCAATGTGCCCTCGATGTGAAAAATCAGCGAGAATACTTTGCGTTTGGTACAAACGATCACATCTACGCTGCTGAACTCATGAAGGAAAATGAAGGTTGTTGTTATGTCCGACGTTTGATTCGGAGAAAGGCTTCTATCCTGTGGAGATAGAAGCGCTTCAAGACAAGGATGATCCCCATTCCATTGTCAACGTGAAGAGAGGGGTTTGGCAGCGAGATACCATTTCGCCCAAACTTTTTAGTGCCGCTCTTGAGAATATCATGCGTCATTCGGAACGGGTAGGTATGGGAATGAAGGTCGAAGGCCGCTCCTTACATCATTTCCGCTTTGCAGACCACATCGTGAAGACTGACCCCAAAAAAGATGATGATCGTTCGGACAGAGCATTCGGAGATACTCGTTCCGATGAACCTGACGAACGATCGAACTCAAGGCTCGGATCAAGTTGAAGGCCAACTACCCTTCGCCACGATCGATGCCTTTCCCTGCGTCAAACTGGGTGGAGATCATTTAGAAGCAGAGTACGCCTCCTATTAGATTTTTGACTGGGGAGTAAAATAATAAGTTTGCCCTTTATTTTGTGCACGAGCCAGTTTTCTCGCAGCATTTATTTTGTTTCTATAATTTTCTTTACTCTGTATACAAAGTTGTAACTAAATATGGTCGCAGCCCAAGTATAGGAACCAGCGCTAATATTTGGCGTCGATGGTTGCGTCCATATGTTCTACCCTTCTCATTGGGCTACTTTTTCCCGAGAAAAAACAGAAAAATAGGGAATAAGGTTCAGGTCGATATCGCATCGTTTCTAGTGTAGCAGACACAGACCTACCTTGAATAGATGAGTCAGTACGTTTTTTTTTTTGAGAGCCATGTAATACAGAGAAGAGTCCATCGGATCCTCGTTGTGTTGAAAAGCTGCCTTAGCCAACTAAACACAAACACTATCGCTTAGATCTAAACAGGAAACAGATCAATGGTAAGTACTTGAAATTTATGTTATTGATATTGCTTCACGCCTGGGCTGAAGAACAGTCTGAAAATCATAAGCAGCACACAAATGCGTGAAGGACCCCACGTTAAATATAGCACTTGTAAAAAGTGTTACCAAAAATCAAACATATTTTTGAGCGTTAATTTTGAACTTATCGCCAAACTCAGAAGTACTTTCTTGAGCGAGTTTGAAAGTTTTATTCTCACCATTGGGGGAATGGACAGACGAGTGTTAGCAAACAGTCATGGGAAAAGATGATGAGCTAGAATGATGCCTGGAGGTTCCCCACAGGTGGGTGTAATATTGCAAAAAGGCTTAGGTCATGCTGTCAGGTAACAAGGTGCGGAAAGCATAACATCCCAACGTTTTACATGGGCATCTGTTCGTATCAGGCATCATCGAACACTCTGCTGACTGTTTTCCATTACATCTCAGATGCGCAATTAAATAGTGTTTTGGGGCTTTAATCAATCCCGTCAGAAGGACCCTGCGCATTCGACTTCCATTCAGAATTGTGGTGGCGTATTGAATGCATATGTGGCCTATGCAATGACTTGCGGTGGCTGGCAGATGTACAAGTCCGTGTATTTCTGCAACTCCGCCCGGATCGCAAATTCTTACAAACTAAAACGACATTCTCAATATAATGTAATGACAGCTACGCTCCCGAAAGGATATTTTGCTCTAATGCGCGATTTCCAGAAATGAAACTTAAGGGGGATTTTGGGTGAAGCGGTGTCGTTTAAACGGAACACAAGAATTTTTACTGCTTTTTTCGAGTAAGATCGTAGATGAGTGGTTGTGGACATGTGGTGCACGCATGAGCGCGCGCAGCTCACTGGTATATATACAGGGGTGCCCAAAAAAAGAGACACTTTCACAGCTCGGCTTGTACCACCAATGTAATCAAACTTTGTTAAATTCTGACTGAATATTACCACCCGCAAAATCAACAACACATTGTACTCGATCACGGAATTCTTCAGTGGCCTTCCGCACGTTTTTGACACGCAAATTTGAGGCGCCGTCTGAGGTCGGCGAGATCGGCAATTTCTTGACCATCGCAGACAATGCTGTTGAGTTCAGCCCACACCCTGTAATCAAGCGGGTTGAGATCAGGAGATGCACTCGGATATTCTGTCTTCTTAAGATATTCGACGTTCACTGAATCCAAAAAGGAGAGTTTTCCTAGATGCATGGGCCGGTGCCCAGTCCTGTTGTAGCACAAAGCTTCCGTCACGATAAAGGCGGCTAGATGACGGCAGAATGTCTTCTCTGAGGACGTAGTACTCGGCATTAATCTTCAACCCAGGCTCCACGAACAGCAGCTCCGTCTTACCGTTCCACGAGACTCCGGCCCACACTATCAGGCCACGCTGGCTGGTGGAGCGTGGTGACTGCAGCACGCTCAACTGAGCTTTTTTTTCTTCGGGGTGGCCCATATGCGTCCCTTATTACTGTCCCTTGATGGAGAGGTCAAGAAGAGTTCCTCATCGCTGAAAACGATCCGCCTCACAAATTCGTCGTTGAGTTTTGGCAGCAGACGCTGGCAGCATTCCGCGCGATTCTGCGCTGCTTCTCGTTGACGCAGTGGACCCTTACTTGAAGAGTGGTTAACAAATAAGCCACAGACACCGAGGAGCCAGCCTTTGAAACCAGTTACAATCCTCGTTTCTTCAGAATACGCTGATCCGGCATCCGCGGAATTCCAGTGCGCTTGGCGATCACGGTTGCTGGAACGGTCGGCTCGTCTCCCATGACATCGCAGACCACTGCGGAGTTGTCGGGGCTACAGGAAGTCAGCGGTCTTCCAGATCCTAAGCGACGATGCCCAGGAATCTGTCCGTGAGCGACTCGATTGAGAAAGTTACGTATCTGCTTGTTGCCGACCGATATCCCCTAAGTCGGCGCGAGCGCGTCCGCAATGGCAGACGGCTTCATATTTTGATGCCGATATAGGAACCACACGAGTTCCTGCTTCCTTTCATCGAGCAACATTCTTAGTACAATTTACCCAATCACGTTCTTTTGCTGCTTCAATCGGTGCGACGTATTCCGCCCTGCTCGAAAGTCTTCGGTGGAATGGTTCTTCAGCCGTACTTTTCAGTCAAAACACCTTTCCTACTGGATCTAATCATGTGAAATTTCGATGTGTAGCATGGGTGCATTGTGAATATTTACTGCTATCAACCTGCAATTTGATCATGTTCCATATATCCCAAAGCGCTTGCCTTTAAGCCATGTCTAAAGTGTACGAGCGCTATTGATGAACACAAAGGAGAAGAAAAACACACATAAGATGCGAATGACTGCAGACGCCAATAACTTTGCTATTAACGAAATCTGCTACTGCAACAAACACCTTGCTCTATCTGTGGATATTGCTGTTTTGCCGTCAAACAAGGTTGGATGGTGTGAAATATGCCTAAGTTGAACATATCAAAATTTCGCTCGATTTGCTCTACTAAGGAAAAGTTATGAACGAAAAAGCGCGAAGGCGTCTGGACGAATGCTTTTGAGCGCTACTGTATATACATATATCCTACTATATATAACACGCTAATGGCTCTCTTGGGTGTATGTGTATGTGTATGTGTGTGTATGTGAATGTGAATGCATATGTGTATATGTATGTGCATGTGCATGTGGCGAGGTGTACGAAAAATTATGCTCGAGGAGAAATTTAGAACTGCTGTTTTTTAGGACCTAGAGCTTTCAAATCTGGTGCGGGGACAGACGGCAGGGTAGGAGCTTTAAAGGCACTGTTCACAAAAAAGTTCGGGTACCCTTTTTTGACGGGAATTGATAGAACTACTCTAGAATAAAGCGATAACAACGTAAAAAGCGCAAAAAACGATGAACAAAAAGAATTACAAAGGGTCAAAAAAAGAGCTGGAAAGGAGGGTTGGACGAATTTCACATTTAAAAAACTGCGGTTAGAGAGTGTTGGAGCGAGAATGCACGAAGGCGACGCAATGTCTGCAATACAGACAACAATCGAAATTTACGGAGTTTCTGACATAAAAAACATTTGCATGCAATAATCTACACAAAATATGTTAAAATCTTCAATAAACTTACGAGAATAGTTAAAGAATGCTACCGTAAAAAATTCATCTTAATATAATAGAATAACAATAGTAGAATAATAGAAACAACAGCTGAATACTAGCTCCTGTACGAGGCGGTCGAATAGCTGACCGTTCTGGCAATTTGCCAATCAGCGTATCGATTTTTCACCAACTTCGCTCCAGTGCGAATGTAGTGAAGGACAACTTGAACTCGTAGTCAGGCCTCCCGTCCCCCACTGTTCCTGCCCTTATCGTGCCCTATCCAGCCGTTTTGCGACCTAATTCCTGCACAATTGTTATCATAGGGGGCTTCGAATTCAAACCATGTGCAAATCTCCGAAACCATTTTTTTTATCAGAGGCGGCGTCGAATTCAAACCATGTGCAAATCTCCGAAACCATTTTTTCGTGAGATAGGTGGCAGGACTTAACACCACCTCACGTGGGCAGAGCCTGCGTGAAAGTTGGCATTTTGGACCTGGGGCACCCTAATTTGCTATGAAAAAAGGTGGCAGTATGGGAATGCTGATAGGAGGTGATATGACATGACTCAGCTCACAAAAAGCGAGACGTACGCGAGAATTGCATATTTGTATCATGGGCGTTCGAATTTGAAGCGAAAGCAGGTGGCAGATCTAAGATACAAATGCTAGGTAGTAGAAACGACTAAACTGAATCTAGCCCGTGAAGGCGTAAGGGGTGGACCATGCGTAAAATGAGTTGAGTGAAAACACGCAGTCAAGTTGGAATAAGAGGGAACGAAATGTCTTTGAAACACACAGAAGTCGAGCAGGAAATCGCTCATAGCGAGTGTGCCGCGCACAGGGTGTGTCGATGCGAGTGTTTCACTAGAAAACGATAGCGGTTTTTTTAGATCGAAGCTTTCAAATTTGGAAGAGTGCAGCAGCGGGCTGCTTTAACCCAAGCAAACCAGCAAACCAGCATATATATATATGCTGGTTTGCTGGTTATATATATATATCGATTCAATGCAAAGGATCTGGAGAGAAGTACAAGGGAGACAGTGCGGATCCTTGAAGTTCCGCCTGACCAGGGAAGGATGCCAAGTCGAAGTGGCCAATTGAAATGAGACCTACACTGCCGGACGTGTTTTTGGATGCTGAGTTCGAATCTGCTTCCCAAATTTGCCGAGCGTTCCTGTGGACGGAGTTATGTGGGTGGTTTTAGGGAGCTTAACATAAGAAAACTTAAGTTACATGGATGCGCCTTTCTTCTCAACGGCGGCTTGGTGTGGTGGTAAGCGTGACGCTTCATGTGCGGGAGACTATGGTTCGAGTTTTGGGGGGGGGATGGGAATTTTGCATTATATGGAATTTTTCCATTAAGGACTAGAAACTACTGCCATGGGGATTTTATCACGTTCTATGAAAATTTGATGCTTTGCTGATGCCTTTTCCTTCCTACCTACATGTTACCGAATAGGAGATTCTTCCGTGCGCAAAACTTGGAGCTTCGGGCGAGAACAAGGCATATGACGAGCAATGATGATGCTAAAGTGGGTGTTGGGGCTCGATTGGGTGCGATGGTGCGTAGCAGCTCCGCACCCACCAACACCGGCACTGTTGACCATGGACTCGTGGATATCATTCACAGACCAGAAAGCTATTCAGTTCGTCCTATCTTCAAAAAGGCAGGTAAAGGGGATGGCACTTTTCTCGAGGCTTCCACGAGGCTAATACAGCCAACAGAAGCCTCTTTAAACCATCCTTCTAAAAACATGGTTAAACGCACCACCTCGCATGTAATAGCTCATGATCTCAACTTTTGCGTGTACACTCGAAACCCCACTTCCGCCTACTATCGCTTGTCT